ATCATCTTGGCATAAGCACTGACTGTGTTGAATTAATACCCACAATTTCATCAGAAAAGAATTGTTTTACAAGGTCATGAACTTCATCGCAACCGAATTTGTGAAAGTTAAGTTTTCCACTAGTCTCCGAGCCACCACCAAAAAGAGTCTACCCCAACCTTATTTTCGATGCCACTGGTTGCCGCCAGCCACCATCGCGTACTTTAGTAGATGTAATTAAATTTGGGTTATTCACACCAATTATCATAGATGGTATTACATTGGTATAACCTTCCAGTGAAATGTCTTTGAGGTAAGTATATTTCTTTTTGACACCTTCGACATTCCTAGTCTCACTTGCTAAATTTAAACTTTTTACGGTATGCACGTTGCTGATTGGGAAAATCTTCGAATTGTGTCTAGCTGGAGACATTTTTAAGTCCAACCTTTTAGAGCAATTTTCATAGCGAGAGACGTCACCAGTCCATCTTACGAAAAGTGGATCATTAATACCTTCCACACGCGATCTTCTCCTCTAAAAGTGTAAGAGTCGAGCCATCGTCCATAAGAGCGTATATTTGGACAGATTTGTTTCCACCATAAAGCGTCACTGGCACTACACGATAAAAGGACTCACCTTCACTATAAGATCTATGATTATTATCTGTACCACCTGATGACTGCTCATCATTGTGCAATAATGCATTGTGTCGCACTGTACAACCGTTTACCCCACATTGTTTCTGAAACCAGCACCTGCTCCTGTGTTTTCCAAGGCAGACGCGTATTGTTTTCCAACGTTCAGCAACAGACAGCTCCTTGAATTGTTCGCACTGGGTCAGTTTATGTTGGTCTTTACAAATTATACACTGATACTGTAGGCTCTGCGACTTATGTATGTTTAAACGCCCCTCTTTCTTTGTTGGCTTTTCGTTATTGTTGGTGTCAAATACAGGAACAGTCACTTTACAAGTCGCCTATCCTACCATATACAACCAGTCTGAAAAATTTACCAAATTAGCCCACTGTAGTACTGTGTCTGTTGGTAGTTTGTATACTAGCTCCTGCAAAAGGGTAGGATTAATTAAATATTTTCTAAATGAGATGCACGAACAGTGGCAGTATGAAATGACGAATGAAAATTCTATTAGGGGCTCCAATTTGCACCGCTGTATTGAATACGAACGCACTTCCTCAATTAAGTTTTTTATTATGCACTCGGGTCTGCCATAATACATTTTTAGAGCTCCAATAATATTTGGACCCATATCCGGGAGTATTAAACAATTCCTTACCGCATCCCGCGCCTTACCACGTAGGCTGTTTTGCAGTCTTATAAAGTTTTCCTCATTTGTGTAGCCGGCAGCCTGCGTGCTGTGTTCATAGGCACTTACATAAACATAAATATTGGGCATTCTTTCGGGTCTTCGTTAAAGCATGGCAAATCTTTACAAACATATTGCCGTGCCATTAATTGGGTCGCCGTCGTGTTTAAATAATTATTCCGACAATTATTTGTTGCTCTTAAATAATTTAATGATTGTGTGTTGTTTATGTTTGTATTAAATCCCATCTGTTGACAGCCTGTAACATTCCTGTTTAGTTGAGTGATGTTTTGACAGTTTTCTGTAGTGCTGCCACTTATTGTACTAAATGGGGAAATGGTTCGTGTCTGTGCTAAAGGATAGTAATCCTCACTTAAATTGGCAACTCGCCGCAAGGTGGAGCTATTTAATGACGTACTTTCTTGGAGTCTGCTAATATTTATATTTTGTTGACAACTTTGTACACACGGTGGGTCATCTATTGTGGCATTTTTGTTGCTCTTACCCACTGGCCGTACATTGTCGACCTGTTGGCATTTATCAGCTTCATCACGTAATAATTGGTACTTACATACGTCTCAAAAACTCCTGTTTTAACAACATCTCCTCTTCTAGCTGCTGCAGTTCAAGCTGTTTTCTAATACTAATACCCGGCTGGACTGCTTTAAAATTCTGAAGCGAAATACTTTATTATTTATTTTATAACAATATTTAATACGTTTTACCTTAGTTTTATGTTTTAGTTTTTTAAGCTTTTCTTATTAACAATTAACAATGGCAAGAATATAGTATGTATAATAAGAATAGGAATATAAAGGAGTAGTTGAAACGAAAAGTCGACTTTTCGACATTTTTCATTTAGTTAAAAGTCGACTTTTCGACTTTTTGCATTTTATGAAAAGTCAATTTTTCGACTTTTTTCATTTAATTAAAAGTCGACTTTTAGACATTCAACTATAAGTATTTTATAAATAGTCGAATTTTTCCCACTTTTTTCGACTTTTTCCGACTTTTTTCGACCTTTTCCGACTTGTCGACTTTTTACGACTTTTCGACTTTATTCGACTTTTCGTCTTTCAGACTTTTCGACTTTTATTAACAAAGTCGACTTTTCGACTTTTTTCACAGACGATAGTCGAGTTATAGACTTTTTTGGAACAAAATAGTCGACTTCGACAAGAAGTCGATTGTTCGATTATTCGAAAGTCGATTTATAGAACCCTAGCATGTACCCGCTGTTGTAAATCGCTTGTGCGCAACACTCGTCAACTATTCAGTAGCGAGTATTTGCTAATGCGCACGTAGTAAGTAGGTAAGTATTTTAAATAAATATAATTTAATTTGTGATTGTGTTACTATTTGTTTTAAATATTGCGTGGAATGTGTTTGTTTTTATCGTTAGCGGTGTTGCTAATATTATTTTACGTACGCGATTTTTAGCAGCGGGTAAATTGATGTATTCTAATGAATTGTCATTAATATACTGAATGAATATGAATGAAAATTAAATTGCAAATATCCAATGATAGTAAAGTTGATTTTTACCTAACTTTTATATTTTTATACGTGCAAGTATAATAAAATTATGAAAATAGAAATAGAAAATTCATTTCAACATTTTTATTTTTTAATAGCAGGTAGTAGTTTTCGCGATTTTTATACATACATATAGTTAATCAACTAAGTTTTTGCCTACCTTTTTTAAGAGAATTTTGTTGTTCATAAATAAAATTCAAAAAAAAACAGGTAAAAAGTAAATTTATATTTTCCAATTAAAAATAGAGATTATGTAAAATAGGAAAACCAAAAAATATTAAAAAAACAAATTTTGGTGCATTTGTTGTTACATTTTATTATTTTTCAGAATTTGCATAATAGGTTCGCGAGGACTTCACTATGAAACTAAAAAAGCTACAAAAATTATTAATGCATGTTGTGCTCTGCATAATATGTGTCTTTTTTATAAGTTCTCAGATGATTCAACAATTGCTATGGATGAATATATCGGGGAAGATTTAGTTAATCACGAGGAAAACATGGAAGGGGAAAATAGAGCTGCAACTATAAGAAACAACATTGCAATTAATTTATAAAAAATATTAATCTCATTTTGTTAAAAAATAACTTAATTTTTATTATTAAAAACTTTTTCTATAGTTTTTGATAAATTCATTGTATTATTTTCAATGTTTTCTTTTAAGGAATTCAATACTTTTTCCATTGCGTCTGCAATTCTAATTGCAGCTTCAGCAGCAATTGCAGAACGTTTAGCTGATTCAGCCTGCGCTTCAGCAGCATCAGCACATCTTTTAACGGCACTGACCTTATCTATGGCCGTAGCAGAAATATGTTCTGAAGCTTTTAATTGGCTACGAATTAGCTTTTTCTTTTAATTCTTCGGGTGTTTGTCCATGGCTGTTTTGGCTGCTAAGAATCTGTTGGTCGGTTGAATCTATTTGTTGTTTTTCCTTAATAGGTGATTTCGCAATTCTGCTGCTTTTAGGTGGTGATTCTATTAGAACTTCAAACAATTTGTCTATTCTCTGATTATTTTGTTTATCTTTATGTCTGTGTACATTTCCAGAGGGTACTGCAGCTGAAGACAAAAATAGTATTCTGTCAACTGATTCTTCTAACGGTGTTAAACTATTATATCGGAAAAATCCGCCACCAGTTTCTCTTAGACTTTTCTGGTTTTTAGAAAATTTTTTCTTCGTCCATAAAAATGATAAAAACTATACTAGTTTTCTATCTTTTTCCATTCGGTAATAGTTCTTGTAGGAGGCCCAAGAGAATTTAATTTTTTCTTCGTCCGAGATTTTTAATCCGCCCAAGACTGCAATTGGAATTTATTACATAAAAATGATAAAAACTATACTAGTTTTCTACCTTTTTCCAGTCGGTAATAGTTCTTGTAGGAGGCCCAAGAGAATTTAATTTTTGTGTTAAATTGTGCCATTGTTCATCCGTTGAGAGCTTCCTACTTCCAAACATAGGCTTTCCTCTAGCAATTTCGGGATTTTCCTCCATATACTCAACCAGCGACTGAAATTGCTGCGTTGTGGACTTCTTTAAGCTTCGTATTAATTTCAGTAATATTAGTACTTAAATGGGTATATGTAAATGTTAATTATTAATTGATTCTTACCATTTGGAATCCATTGTTTAATTTATTTTTTTAATATTTTTTAGATTATATTGAGCAGAAAACAAAAATACAAGTGACTAATTTTGACTTTTTGTTCGTATAGGTGACTGTAATTTCGAAATCAAGGAACGTTATCGTTCGACTACCATTCGAATCGAAACGATAAAATTTTTCTACATAGAGGGACCAAAATGAGATTTCTTTCGATTAGGGTTCGAAAGAATTTACAACTTCGAGATCGTGGAACAGGCTATTAAATTTATTTTTTATGATAAAAAAGTTAAAAAAGGATAGGGGCTTTTTATAGGGGCTAGGGTCAAATGAGACCCTATAATTATAAAGTTCATCAGGGTCATCAAGGCTAGTATAGAACTTGGTTTTGCAGCTTTTTGTCGAGATACGAGTATATTAAACATAATTATGAACTTAAAAGCCGAATTTGGCGGGTTCACTTGTATGGGGCCTAGGTGAAATAATGGACCGATGCTAACTATTTTCAATAGGCTTCGTCTCTGGGGCAATAGAATACTTTCAAACGTTTTAGATTTTCGTCTATTTATTCTTTCGGTTAACAGCAATTTCAACTCTGAATTCTGAAGATTTTCTAACATTAATGTTATGTTTGTAATTTCAATATAGAAATTATATATATATTAAATATTCATTCTTTTGAGTTTGTATACACAATTTTAAACACTTTTAAGAATTCAGTAACGAAAGCCCAAATTTCATTGGATACTTCAATTTTACAGCTTCTATGAATTCTCTTAATAATAAGAATCTCTCTAACATAAGATATGTTGAATTCCACCTTGTTATGTTATCTAATATCGGCATTTTGTAGTCCGAATTTTTCAATCGATTCGTTTTAGCTTCTTCAAATTCCGTTCGATTTTGCTTATTCCCAAAAGAATAAACTTCTCCACATTTTTATTTTTTATATGGCAACTTTGTATAAATCAAAACGAAAACATATGTTTCAATTTCAAAACAAAAAAAACATTTTGCGGCAAAAATTTTATTTTTAACTTAAAATCTATAATAAAATAAAAGTAATTAAACTTAAAATTAAAGAAACGTGTATAAGTAAAAAGAAAAAATTAAGACAATTATGCCGGGTGTATCAATTGTTGCTGTAATGGAGGAAAGCAAGAGACAACATTCAGTGGAAAAATTGCGTCGGCGTACATTAAGAGATGCCTCAGATCCTTTGTCATATCCACCGGCAGTGTAAGTAAATGTACCATAAATATGTACATATGTACGTAATTGTGTTAACAATTATTTAAAGATCATATACATACATTTTAGTTTTGTTAGCTACTATCGACTTAATAAAGAGGCTTTTATAATGGTGCTAGAAAAACTTAGCCCTCACCTAAAAAGCTCGACAATACCACAAATAATACAATTGTCAACCACTCCGCGTTTCTTAGCTACTGGAGCTTTTCAAGGCGTTATAGGTAAGACTTTATTTACTGTTTATATACAAGGTGTATTACTTTAATTGAACATTGTATTGTAGCCAAAGATGTGGATATAAGTTTAGGAAGGAGTACTGTTTCAACGCTAATGTGGAGGGTCATAAATGCTGCAGAATCTAAAATTTGTCCACAATGGATAAAAATAGAAATGACGACGGAAGAAAAACTAAGTTCAAAGACTTATTTTTTCCAAAAATGCCAAATACCTGGCGTAGTAGGATGTATTGACGGTACTCACGTCAAGATAAATAAGCCTTGTGAAGACGAATCACTTTATTTAAATAGAAAAGGAACATTTAGTGTAAATGCTATGATAGTAAGAAAAACCATTTTCTATTAAAACAAATATTAATATTTAATTATTATTTTGTTTTAGATATGTGACAACAATATGAAAGTGCGTGCTGTAGATGCCCGTAGACCTGGGTCTTGCCATGACTCTTTTGTTTGGAAATTGAGTAGAGCAAGACAGTTTTTCTTACACAATTCTTCAAATGGAGATACAAATTCATGGCTTCTAGGTGATTCTGGTTATGGACTGGAGCCATTTTTATTAACTCCTTATAAGGATGTTTCATCTGGAACGCCAGAACATAAATTTAATAACAAGCACGCTAGTGGTCGCAACATTGTAGAACGTATAATTGGCGTATTAAAAAGCAGATTTAGGTGTTTGTTGGGTACCTTGTTGTACACCCCACAAAAAGTAGTTCAAATCATAAATGTTTGCTGTGCACTTCATAACATATGCAGGGAGTTCAATATTGAGTTCGAAGAAGATTCAATGGATGGTAATATTGAGAACAATGACGTAGATGAAGTAGAAGATTTGTCAGAAAGAAATATGTTCAACATTGCTAAACGCTTAAGGGATAGTATTGCAGCTCAACTTACTTAATTTTGAAATAAAATTTTAACTTTAAACAAGTTAGATTGCTATATTCGGCACTGCCGAATCTTAAATACCCTCCACCTGCAAACTACTTTTTATTAAAACCCAAAATAAATATGTTATAGGGCCGAATTTAAAGTTTATACTAAAGAAATAAATTTTACTTAAGTATTAAAGTACATACTAAGTACTTAAGTACTTTATTTTCCTTATGGAGAACTGTAAAACCCGGCACATGTTTTGTTTCCGTAATTAAGATACTATTTATCATTTTGTAACTTATTTATGCATGTATGTATGTAACTAATTTTGATTAGGACAAGAAACATTTGTATTAAGTGATTTTCAGATATCGACCGATTATTCTTCGACCTATTATGTTCCGATCCTGCCAATAACTTATATGGGAACTATGACCAATAATGTACCAATTCGAAAAAAAATTCAAAATGATTTATCTATACACAGAACATACTCATGTCGAGTTTAATAATAAATTATGTGGTATTATGTGGTATTATGTGGTTTTCAGAAGTGAACCTTATATGGGAGCTAGTTATAGACCGATGCTGAAAAAATTCCTTATATGGAATGTAACCAATTATGGACCGATGTGGAAATTTTTCACGAATGATTTACATATACAAAACAAATTCACGTCGAGTTTTACCCTGATAGCTTCATTTATCAATGAATTATGCGCATTTAAGTGATTTTCGGATGTGGACCTTATATGTGAGCTATGACCAATTATGGACCGATCCGAAAAAAAAAAATCGTAAAATAATTAATATTTATACACAACACATATTCATATCAAATTTTATCCCGATAGCTTTATTTATCAATGAATTAAGCTTGTTTAAGCGATTTTAGGATGTGGACCTTATATGGGAGCTAGTACCAATTGTGAACTGATCCGGAAAAAATTTCACTGAATGATTTATATCTATATACAGAACATATTCACCTCGGGTTCTACCCTGATAGCTTTATTAATCAATGAATTATGCCCATTTGAGTGATTTTCGGATGTGGACCTTATATGGGAGCTATGACCGATTATGGACCGATCCGGAACAAATTTCGTAGAGTAATTCATATACACACAAAACACATTCATGTCGAATTTTATCCAGATAGCTTTATTTATCTATGAATTATGCTCGTTTAAGTGATTTTCGGATGTGAACCTTATATGGGAGCTATGACCAATTATGGACCGATCCGGAAAAAACTTCCGTAGAATGATTTATGTATATACAAAACATATTCATGTCGAATTTTATCCCGATAGCTTTATTTTTCAATAAAATATGTTCATTTAAGTGATTTTCGAAAGTGGACCTTATATGGGAGCTATGACCAATTGTGGACCGATACAGATCTAAGTCGGTAGTTTTAATTCCTGTTCATATAAAGTCAATATGTACAAAATTTTGTGTTGATACCGATATATTTGAGGAAGTTATTAACGATAAATTAATTTCCGGGAATATGTACCTTTGTATGGGGGCTATGGGAAATTTGGGATCGATTGTTACAATTTTAAACATAATTAATCTATAGATGGACAAAATAATCTGTGACAAAATTTGTCGAATTATCTTTGGTAGTTTCTGAGAAAACTACTCAAGAATTGGGGAAAAAAAACTTAATTTTTTTGAGGTAGTCTGAAATTTTTACTCATAACTTTTTACGTTGTGAACCGATTTTGCTGATTTTCAATACCAAACTGCTTAGGAAAACAATGAATACTCTCAGTGAATTTGGTTGATGTCATTTGCTGAGTTTTAGCGTGAGCGTGTTTTAACCAGACAGACAGACAGACGGACATAGCTAAATCGACTCAGAATTTCATAAGGATCCAGAATATATATACTTTGTTGGGTCTAAGATGAATATTTTTTGGTGTTACACACGGAATGACAAACTTATATATACCCTCTATCACCACTGATGGTGGTGGAGGGTATAATAAAATTTATTTAATTCATACATTTAACATAAAATGGGTTAATTAAAAAATAAATAACATTACAAAATAGGCAGTTACCACTAACATAAAAATTTGTACTTTAAAAGGAACTTCATTTAATACAGTAAATAAATACTTAAATACAAAATATATTAATAGATTTATAATGTTTGTACATTAAGCTTTTAAGAGATCAGATAAAAAATATATTTTTTTACGAATGTTTGACTTTTTCTCTTTCTATTGAAAGCTTTAAGGTCTCAATTTCTATTAATTTTAATTTGAGTTCATTTTTTTCACGTAATTGCTTTTGTGTTTCTATGTCATTTAATTGTCTTGCCTTATACTGATTTTCAAAAATATTGCAAAGCATATCCAATTTCTTATTTAGTATTTTAGCTTCTTCGAGGTGTTCTTCCATCAACTTTGTGATTGATTTTAAATGATTATTTTCTTCTGCCAATAAGCTGTTTAATTCCGCTTTTGAAGGTACTTGTGGAGTATTTGGTCTGCATCGTTTCGGGTTCGGAGATGGAGTTCGAGAAATACGTTTTTTTGATGTTGATGGAGTTTCTGCACTTAGATTATTTTCTGATATTGTCAGATGTATGTCACATTCACTTTCATTTTCTTTTTCAGATTCATTTAGAATCAAATCAATTGTGGATTCTCCGAAATCTTTAGAGGAATTAATACCATCTACACTTCTGTAGATTCCCGTCAGTCTAGCCACGGTTTCCTCTGCATCTGAAAGAACATATTTATTATATTGGCCACCACCAGTTTTCAGATTTTCTTTTTTATTGTGGGACATCTTGTTTTTAACATAGACCTTCCAGTCTGTCCACGTTTTTTTCCATCCATTCAAATCCTTGGTTGGTGGTCCACATGAATTTAATTTTTTGGCCAAATCAGCCCACAAGGCTTCCTTAACCACACGGTCCCCTTTGACGTAACCTCTAGCGATATCAACGTGCGACTCCATGAAATCGATAAAGATTTTTTCTTGTTGTGGATTTCTGTGCTTTCCCCTTGTTAAAATATATAAAATTAAAATAAATTTAAAGTTTTTTTAAACAATACTATTACTTACATTTTGGATATCATATGTTTTCTTTTCACTTAGTGTTGCCAGTGGATAAAAAGTTAATAAAACATAAAACTTTTGTTCTAAATAAAAAGTGGTTTTGCTAGAAAAATTAAGTGGTAACTTCGTTTGATATTTGCAGTTTTTTAATGTTATTTTCTATCTGTCCTAGACAAAATATGAAAAATTTTAATAGAAAAATATAAAAAATACTTGGATAATGTAAAAAAAACATTAAAACAACTTTACTTTCCCTTAAATTCAATTTTGTAATAATTTTATTTAGTTAAAAATCATTAAAACATCAATTCCACTTAGGAAACTGAAAGTGGTTTCATTCCGAAAGAATTTTTCGTTTTACTTTTTCTAAAGAAGCACAATGCGGAATAAATTCCACTTTCGATCGGAATGAAATTCTGTGACAGGCCTGAATAATTAATAAATATAGTGAAATTGGTATTACGACCGAACACCATGGAGATAAAACTTCCCTGTTAATGAATATGGAAAACTAAACAGAGAATAAACGACAGCGGCAGGTAGCTAGCTGATACATCCATATGTATGTACACATGTATGTGTATGTGTACATACATTTGGATAAAGTGTTGAAAAAATGTAAGTAAATCAGATTTCATATAATTTAAAAATTTTTTGAACGCCATTAAAATAACAACAAACAAATTCCATAAAATAAAGTGCATAGATACTTTTAGCTGATGCAGTTTGCTAGGTATTGAAAATGGGCAATATCGGTCCACGATTTCGCCTACCCCCCACATAAGATCCCCTTCAGAAAATGACTTTAACGCTCATAACAGGCTAAAAGAAGCACCTATAGAGATGAAATTCGACATGAATATATTTTATAGAAACCTAAATCACTTTGTAAAATTTTATAAGGATCGGTCCATAATTGACCCTACCCCCATATAAGGTCCCCTTCAGAAAATGACTTTAACGCTCATAACTGTCCAAAAGAAGCATGTATAGCGATGAAATTCGACATGAGCATATTTTATAGGAATTTTAATATCATTGTGAAATTTTATAAGAATCGGTCAATAATTGACCCTATCCCCTATATAAGGTCCCCTTCAGAAAATGACTTTAACGCTCATAACTGTCCAAAAGAAGCATGTATAGCGATGAAATTCGACATGAGCATATTTTATAGGAATTTTAATATCATTGTGAAATTTTATAAGAATCGGTCAATAATTGACCCTACCCCTCATATAAGGTCCCCTTTGAAAAATGACTTTAACGCTCATATCTGTCTAAAAGAAGCATATATAGCTATGAAATTCGACATGAACGTATTTTATAGAAACCTAAATCACTTTGTAAAAATTTATGAAGATCGGTCCATAATTGATCCTACCCCCAATATAAGGTCCCCTTCAGAAAATGACTTTAACGCTCATATCTGTCCAAAAGAAGCGATGAAATTCCAAATGAACATATTTTATAAGAATTTTAATATCATTGTAAAATTTTATAAGGATCGGTCCATAATTGACCCTATCCCCCATATAAGATCCCCTTAAGAAAATTACTTTATCGCTCAAACCTGACTAAAAGAAGCAGCGATGAAATTCGACATGAATATATTTTATAGGATCCTAAATCGCTTTGTAAAATTTTATAAGGATCGGTTCATAATTGACCCTACTCCTCATATAAGGTGCCCTTCAGAAAATGGCTTTAACGCTCATTACTAGCCTAAACTAAAATCGTTCTACAAAATTTCACGAGGATTGCTCCATAATTGTCCAAACCTACAACACCCCCCCCCCCCCAAATAAGGTCCCTCTCAGAAAATTACTTTAACGCTTTTTACTACCTTAAAAATATAAGTACAGCGACAAAGTTCGACAAAAATTTCTCTACCAAATATTAGGAGGATCAGTCCATAATTGATTCTATCGATATACATATGTATGATTTTACATATGAAGATGTAATAAATGAGAAAATTGTTTTGACAATAACAAAAGCATCGATTCTTAAATATCAAAGTTTATTTATAAGGAAGCATTCCTTTTCGGCAATGATTTGATTTCATACATGGAGTCATACATCTTCATATATGGAGCTCCATACATGTTCGGATCCGGAAATTGGCGATATATGAACATATATGAACATATATATAAATATTTATAAATTTTAATATTTAAAAGTTACATAAAATCTTAAGATATTTGCAGGTAACATAAGTTTTGACTTATAAATAGAAATAAATTATTTAATTAACATTAATAAATATTTAAATTTATATTAAAAAACTATACTCTATGTAAACACGTACATACTTATTTATATGTTGTGTAAATAATAAATAAGAGAAAATATAAAATTAAATCTTAGCACATATGTATGTATTTCTGGTAATTCAGTTTTAAATTAATGAGAATATATATACAATTTTAAATTGATTTCATATATATTTGTATGCATAATATAATAAAATAATGATGATAAATATATGTATAATAAAATAAAATAACAAGACATGATTCAAACCAAATTGATTAAATATTTTAAGTCTAGAACAGTGCTGCCCATACACATACTGTTACACATTAATTTGTATTGGTAAAGCAGCAGAGAACAAAATGTAACCCAAAATAAAACTGCACTAATAAAATGACTGCAAACTAAAAAGTATATTCTATCTGTCAAATTGATATTATGGATTTTGACAGACAGCGTACATTAAAGTTCATATATAAAAAACTATCAGCTGTGCTCTCTCACTCATCTCCATAAATTCGGCTTTCTCAAAATTTTGTTGTTGTATTTCTGTGTGGATTTTAAAAAAGTTGCGTACAGATCTTACTTCGACAAATGCTGATCAGCAACTGAGTTGATTTTGTTTTGCAAGTTGAGAGATAATCAACTAACACATGCTCAAATAAGAAAATACACAATTAAGCTTATAGTGTAGGTAAGTCAACGCAACGTCAGCAGAAATTTCTTGCCCTATCTCGCGTGATAGGGAATCGCGATTTTGGGCAACATTGGTCTAGAATAAAAAAGTATTCATATAAAATAAAATATATTCAGTCTTACTTATTTACTCTATTTACGGGAATTACATAATTTTTTATGTTGCCTTTTAAGTTCTCCTATTTTTTGTGTCTTAGTTTGATTGACATCATATGGAGTTTAGGGGTCCATTCATGTTTTTGAGCATATTCGGCAGAAATCTAATCAATTATATAAAACATCAAAATTATAGTAAACATTAATACGTTTAGCTTCACATTATAACCTGTTAACGCTTTCCGAGCTTCACCATTCAATGTGCCGTATTTGTTGTTTCTCATCTCATTCCCTTGTGTCTTTGAAGGTTGCCCGGAAAAGGTACATGTTAAAATGGCAATAAGAATACATTAATTTATATTTGCTATGTTTAATAGGTATTTTTATATATGTATTATACTTACATCTTTTTCATAGTTTTTCATATATCGATCTGGAGTTCCTTTCAGGAGAATTTATAACTTCGATGTTTGTTGCATTAATTTCCTTTATTATTATGGTTTCAATTGCAGGATTCGACACAACAGGTTGATCTTCAGATTCTCCACTTTGTTGTGATTCGGTTACTATTTCTGCTGTTATCCTTGCCAATTTGTCTTGAAAGTTTTTTGATTCAAGACGTAAGTTTTCTTCAGTATTGTTCTAAATAATTATTACCACTTTTTATTTTATTTATGAATATTTATGAAATTAAATTATATATGTACTTACTTTTTCCTTCATATCAATAGGCTGTGTCGAATTTTCTTTCTTACGAATTTTATTAGTTTGTTTTTTTTTTTGCAAAAATTATTGCCTCCTTTGTTTTTTACAGAAAATTTAAAAGAAACACATTTTACAAAATTGATTTATATATTTAATTAAATATACTTAGCAGTTTTTAGTATTGTGTTACTATTTGTTTTAAATATTGCGTAGAATGTGTTTGTTTTTATCGTTAGCGGCGTTGCTAATATTATTTTACGAACGCGATTTTTAGCAGCGGGTAAATTGATGTATTCTAATGAAATTAAATTGCAAATATCCAATGATAGTAAAGTTGATTTTTACCTAACTTTGTATATTTTTATACGTGCAAGTATAATAAAATCTTGAAAAGTATAAAATAGAAAATTCATTTCAACATTTTTATTTTTTAATAGCAGGTAATCAACTAAGTTTTTGCCTACCTTTTTTAAGAGAATTTTGTTGTTCATAAATAAAATTCGAAAAAACAGGTAAAAAGTAAATTTATATTTTCCAATTAAAAATAGAGATTGTGTAAAATGGGAAAACCAAAAAATATTAAAAAAACAAATTTTGGTGCATTTGTTGTTACATTTTATTATTTTTCATCAGAATTTGCATAATAGGTTCGCGAGGACTTCACTATGAAACTAAAAAAGCTACAAAAATTATTAATGCATGTTGTGCTCTGCATAATATGTGTCTTTTTTATAAGTTCTCAGATGATTCAACAATTGCTTTGGATGAATATGTCGGGGAAGATTTAGCTAATCACGAGGAAAACATGGAACAGGAAAATAGAGCTGCAACTATAAGAAACAACATTGCAATTAATTTATAAAAAATATTAATCTCATTTTGTTAAAAAATAACTTAATTTTTATTATTAAAAACATTTTCTATAGTTTTTGATAAATTCATTGTATTATTTTCAATGTTTTTTTTTTTAAGGAATTCAATACTTTTTCCATTGCGTCTGCAATTCTAATTGCAGCTTCAGCAGCAATTGCAGAACGTTTAGCTGATTCAGCCTGCGCTTCAGCAGCATCAGCACATCTTTTAACGGCACTGACCTTATCTATGGCCGTAGCAGAAATATGTTCTGAAGCTTTTAATTGGCTACGAATTAGCTTTTTCTTTTAATTCTTCGGGTGTTTGTCCATGGCTGTTTTGGCTGCTAAGAATCTGTTGGTCGGTTGAATCTATTTGTTGTTTTTGATTTGATTTCATACATGGAGTCATACATCTTCATATATGGAGCTCCATACATGTTCGGATCCGGAAATTGGCGATATATGAACATATATGAACATATATATAAATAATTATAAATTTTAATATTTAAAAGTTACATAAAATCTTAAGATATTTGCAGGTAACATAAGTTTTGACTTATAAATAGAAATAAATTATTTAATTAACATTAATAAATATTTAAATTTATATTAAAAAACTATACTCTATGTAAACACGTACATACTTATTTATATGTTGTGTAAATAATAAATAAGAGAAAATATAAAATTAAATCTTAGCACATATGTATGTATTTCTGGTAATTCAGTTTTAAATTAATAAGAATATATATACAATTTTAAATTGATTTCATATATATTTGTATGCATAATATAATAAAATAATGATGATAAATATATGTATAATAAAATAAAATAACAAGACATGATTCAAACCAAATTGATTAAATATTTTAAGTCTAGAACAGTGCTGCCCATACACATACTGTTACACATTAATTTGTATTGGTAAGGCAGCAGAGAACAAAATGTAACCCAAAATAAAACTGCACTAATAAAATGACTGCAAACTAAAAAGTATATTCTATCTGTCAAATTGATATTATGGATTTTGACAGACAGCGTACATTAAAGTTCATATATAAAAAACTATCAGCTGTGCTCTCTCACTCATCTCCATAAATTCGGCTTTCTCAAAATTTTGTTGTTGTATTTCTGTGTGGATTTTAAAAAAGTTGCGTACAGATCTTACTTCGACAAATGCTGATCAGCAACTGAGTTGATTTTGTTTTGCAAGTTGAGAGATAATCAACTAACACATGCTCAAATAAGAAAATACACAATTAAGCTTATAGTGTAGGTAAGTCAACGCAACGTCAGCAGAAATTTCTTGCCCTATCTCGCGTGATAGGGAATCGCGATTTTGGGCAACATTGGTCTAGAATAAAAAGTATTCATATAAAATAAAATATATTCAGTCTTACTTATTTACTCTATTTACGGGAATTACATAATTTTTTATGTTGCCTTTTAAGTTCTCCTATTTTTTGTGTCTTAGTTTGATTGACATCATATGGAGTTTAGGGGTCCATTCATGTTTTTGAGCATATTCGGCAGAAATCTAATCAATTATATAAAACATCAAAATTATAGTAAACATTAATACGTTTAGCTTCACATTATAACCTGTTAACGCTTTCCGAGCTTCACCATTCAATGTGCCGTATTTGTTGTTTCTCATCTCATTCCCTTGTGTCTTTGAAGGTTGCCCGGAAAAGGTACATGTTAAAATGGCATCTATTTATTGTAAGAAACAAATAACAAAGTCTTCAGGCCAAATGGGATGCCTTGAATGTCGACCCTAATACGCTATCATACACTATTCCTTTTATTTCCTTTAATAGCACTATCTGAAAACACAAATTCAATAAGAATACAGTAATTTATATTTGCTATGTTTAATAGGTATTTTTATATATGTATTATACTTACATCTTTTTCATAGTTTTTCATATATCGATCTGGAGTTCCTTTCAGGAGAATTTATAACTTCGATGTTTGTTGCATTAATTTCCTTTATTATTATGGTTTCAATTGCAGGATTCGACACAACAGGTTGATCTTCAGATTCTCCACTTTGTTGTGATTCGGTTACTATTTCTGCTGTTATCCTTGCCAATTTGTCTTGAAAGTTTTTTGATTCAAGACGTAAGTTTTCTTCAGTATTGTTCTAAATAATTATTACCACTTTTTATTTTATTTATGAATATTTATGAAATTAAATTATATATGTACTTACTTTTTCCTTCATATCAATAGGCTGTGTCGAATTTTCTTTCTTACGAATTTTATTAGTTTGTTTTTTTTTTTTGCAAAAATTATTGCCTCCTTTGTTTTTTACAGAAAATTTAAAAGAAACACATTTTACAAAATTAATTTATATATTTAATTAAATATACTTAGCAGTTTTTAGTATTGTGTTACTATTTGTTTTAAATATTGCGTAGAATGTGTTTGTTTTTATCGTTAGCGGCGTTGCTAATATTATTTTACGTACGCGATTTTTAGCAGCGGGTAAATTGATGTATTCTAATAAATTGTCATTAATATACTGAATGAATATGAATGAAAATTAAATTGCAAATATCCAATGATAGTAAAGTTGATTTTTACCTAACTTTGTATATTTTTATACGTGCAAGTATAATAAAATCTTGAAAAGTATAAAATAGAAAATTCATTTCAACATTTTTATTTTTTAATAGCAGGTAATCAACTAAGTTTTTGCCTACCTTTTTTAAGAGAATTTTGTTGTTCATAAATAAAATTCGAAAAAAACAGGTAAAAAGTAAATTTATATTTTCCAATTAAAAATAGAGATTGTGTAAAATGGGAAAACCTAAAAATATTAAAAAAAACAAATTTTGGTGCATTTGTTGTTACATTTTATTATTTTTCATCAGAATTTGCATAATAGGTTCGCGAGGACTTCACTATGAAACTAAAAAAGCTACAAAAATTATTAATGCATGTTGTGCTCTGCATAATATGTGTCTTTTTTATAAGTTCGGGGGAAGATTTAGCTAATCACGAGGAAAACATGGAACAGGAAAATAGAGCTGCAACTATAAGAAACAACATTGCAATTAATTTATAAAAAATATTAATCTCATTTTGTTAAAAAATAACTTAATTTTTATTATTAAAAACATTTTCTATAGTTTTTAATAAATTCATTGTATTATTTTCAATGTTTTTTTTTTAAGGAATTCAATACTTTTTCCATTGCGTCTGCAATTCTAATTGCAGCTTCAGCAGCAATTGCAGAACGTTTAGCTGATTCAGCCTGCGCTTCAGCAGCATCAGCACATCTTTTAACGGCACTGACCTTATCTATGGCCGTAGCAGAAATATGTTCTGAAGCTTTTAATTGGCTACGAATTAGCTTTTTCTTTTAATTCTTCGGGTGTTTGTCCATGGCTGTTTTGGCTGCTAAGAATCTGTTGGTCGGTTGAATCTATTTGTTGTTTTTCCTTAATAGGTGATTTCGCAATTCTGCTGCTTTTAGGTGGTGATTCTATTAGAACTTCAAACAATTTGTCTATTCTCTGATTATTATACCCTCCACCACCATCAGTGGTGATAGAGGGTATATATAACTTTGTCATTCCGTGTGTAACACCAAGAAATATTCATCTGAGACCCAACAAAGTATATATATTCTGGGTCCTTATCAAATTCTGAGTCGATTTAGCTATGTCCGTCTGTCTGTGTAAAACACGCTCACGATAAAACGAAGCAATAGAGCTTAACCAAATTCACCCAAAATGTTCTTCATTTTCCTAAGTTGTTTGGTATTGCAAATGGGCAAAATCGGTTCACACCGGGAAAAGTTATGAATCAAAATTTAAAACAACCTCGGAAAAAAATAAGCATTTTTTACACGTTCTGATGTAGTGCAAGGTAATTCCATGGAAATCACCATACATTCGTTTCTGCACAAGATCTTGATCCCTGCTGAAAATTGCCAGAATCGGTCCACAATTTCATATACCTCCCATACAAAAGTATATATTCCCGGAAAATGGGTTTTTTGTTAATAACTTCCGCCACAATGTCGATATCTTCACAAAATTTTACAAATTAAAATCCTATGTCAATAGAATTCTTTAAGAGGAAAAATTTTATGGATCGGTCCATAATTGGACATAGCTCCCATACAAGGTCCCCTCCCGAAAATCACTTAAACGCGCATAACTCATTACTAAATTAAGATAACCATATAAAATTTGGTACAAATATTACTCATATGCACAGAAATATTGTTGTGAAATTTTTTTCCGATCGGTCCATAATTGGTCATAGCACCCATACAAAGTCCCCTCCCGAAAATCACTTAAACGCGCTTAACTCATAACTAAATTAAGATATCCATATAAAATTTGGTACAAATATTACTCATATGCACAGAAATTTTGTTGTGAAATTTTTTTCCGATCGGTCCATAATTGGTCATAGCTCCCATACAAGGTCCCCTCTCGAAAACCACTTAAACGCGCATAACACATTACTAAATTAAGATATCCATATAAGGTTTGGTACAAGTATTACTCATATGTACAGAAATATTACTGTGAAATTTTTTTTCGATCGGTCCATAATTGGTCATTGCTCCCATACAAGGTCCCCTCCCGAAAATCACTTAAACGCGCATAACTCATTATTAAATTAAGATATCAATATAAAATTTGGCACAAGTATTACTCATATGCACAGAAATATTACTGTGAAATTTTTTTTCGATCGGTCCATAATTGGTCATAGCTCCCATACAAGGTCCCCTCCCGAAAATCACTTAAACGCGCATAACTCATTACGTAATTAAGATACCCATATGGTACAAATATTACTCATATGTACAGAAATATTACAGATAATTTTTTTTCCGATCGGTCCATAACTGGTCATAGCTCCCATACAAGGTCCCCTCACGAAAATCACTTAAACGCACATAACTCATTACTAAATTAAGATATCCATATAAAGTTTGGCAAAAATATTGCTCATATACAGAGAAATATTACTGTGAAATTGTTTTTCTATCGATCCATAATTGATCATAGCTCCCATACAAGGTCCCTTTCAGAAAAACACTTAAAGGCACATGACTCATTACTAAATAATGATATAAATAAATACTATTTTTGTTCATAAATACTATTTTGTAATGCAAAAAGCACTTAATGCTATTTCAAAAATTTTTCACGATCGGTCTATATTTGGTCATATCTCTCATACTAGGTCCTGCCCCTAAAAGCGCTTTAACCGTATTTAACTATTTGCATTATCAATTTGTGTAGAACAAAATTATATATATATGTATGTATTTTTAAAATCCTTAAATCTTTCACACACATGCAAATACGAGATATCGCTAAAGCATATCTTAGTGCGCTATAAAAATTTAAATGAAAGTGGCGTTTCTAATGTTCAATAAATCTTGGAATTGTAGTAGATTTAAGCTGTTTAAATCTTGGGATTTTTCTATTTAAGACATGAGAAAACTTATTTCTACAAATATTTTATTAATTAGAAATGTATTAATACAAAAGTTGCTGGTGGAGGGTATTTAAGATTCGGCTCAGCCGAATATAGCACTCTAACTTGTTTTAAATATAAAGATAAACATCTTTATGTCTGTGTACATTTCCAGAGGGTACTGCAGCTGAAGACAAAAATAGTATTCTGTCAACTGATTCTTCTAACGGTGTTAAACTATTATATCGGAAAAATCCGCCACCAGTTTCTCTTAGACTTTTCTGGTTTTCAGAAAATTTTTTCTTCGTCCATAAAAATGATAAAAACTATACTAGTTTTCTATCTTTTTCCATTCGGTAATAGTTCTTGTAGGAGGCCCAAGAGAATTTAATTTTTTCTTCGTCCGAGATTTTAAATCCGCCCAAGACTGCAATTGTAATTTATTACATAAAAATGATAAAAACTATACTAGTTTTCTACCTTTTTCCATTCGGTAATAGTTCTTGTAGGAGGCCCAAGAGAATTTAATTTTTGTGTTAAATTGTGCCATTGTTCATCCGTTGAGAGCTTTCTACTTCCAAACATAGGCTTTCCTCTAGCAAATTCGGGATTTTCCTCCATATACTCAACCAGCGACTGAAACTGCTGCGTTGTGGACTTCTTTAAGCTTCGTATTAATTACAGTAATATTAGTACTTAAATGGGTATATGTAAATGTTAATTATTAATTGATTCTTACCATTTGGAATCCATTGTTTAATTTATTTTTTTTAATATTCTTTAAATTATATTGAGCAGAAAACAAAAATACAAGTGACTAATTTTGACTTTTTGTTCGTATAGGTGACTGTAATTTCGAAATCAAGGAACGTTATCGTTCGACTACCATTCGAATCGAAACGATAAAATTTTTCTACATAGAGGGACCAAAATGAGATTTCTTTCGATTAGGGTTCGAAAGAATTTACAACTTCGAGATCGTGGAACAGGCTATTAAATTTATTTTTTATGATAAAAAAGTTAAAAAAGGATAGGGGCTTTTTATAGGGGCTAGGGTCAAATGAGACCCTATAATTATAAAGTTCATCAGGGTCATCAAGGCTAGTATAGAACTTGGTTTTACAGCTTTTTGTCGAGATACGAGTATATTAAACATAATTATGAACTTAAAAGCCGAATTTGGCGGGTTCACTTGTATGGGGCCTAGGTGAAATAATGGACCGATGTTAACTATTTTCAATAGGCTTCGTCTCTGGGGCAATAGAATACTTTCAAACGTTTTAGATTTTCGTCTATTTAAGCTTTAGGTTAACAGCAATTTCAACTCTGAATTCTGAAGATTTTCTAACATTAATGTTATGTTTGTAATTTCAATATAGAAATCACTATATATTAAATATTCATTCTTTTGAGTTTGTATACACAATTTTAAACACTTTTAAGAGTTCAGTAACGAAAGCCCAAATTTCATTGGATACTTCAATTTTACAGCTTCTATGAATTCTCTTAATAATAAGAATCTCTCTAACATAAGATATGTTGAATTCCACCTTGTAATGTTATCTAATATCGGCATTTTGTAGTCCGAATTTTTTAACAAATTTATATCTGTCCAAAAGAAGCGATGAAATTCCAAATGAACATATTTTATAAGAATTTTAATATCATTGTAAAATTTTATAAGGATCGGTCCAT